TACATGTACATGCTCCAGTGTGAACAATATTTAATTTAACTATATAGTGTCAAAATTATTCCTTATATATAGTTGTATCTATCAAAAGATAGAGACAAAGTTCACTTTTCAAAAGCAATAAAATTTAATTTAAGTATCAAAGCTCCAGTCAAGATTGGTGAGTTCATCTGGTCCTACATTCAACAGAGAAGGAGAAGTGACAGGTGCAGTTGCAGGGGTAGCAATATGAGGCAGGTTATCACTGAGATGTGATAAATTCAAGTGACTCAGTATAATTTTCTCTGTATTGAGGGAAGAGGAAGTGAGAGAGGGAGAAAGGATTGTACTAGTAAAGAGATTAACTGTGTCAATACCTTGAGTATTATATTCCTCAGTTACATTATCAGGAAAACAAGAATGAAGAGCATTACCATCAGCACTGATAGTAGAAGCCTAGATGCATGTATGATAATTACACATTCATTATTGGCCTCGCCCAGCTTTGCGTAGGCGAGGACTAGGTACTCAGTTTGTCTGTCTGTCATTCATTCATTCTGTGTGCTATATTTTGTCTTTGAGAATATATATCTTTATAATCGCGTGCTCTAAGTCTGTGAGAGCTTCTCTTCTGTTAGGAAAAGTCTTGCTTTACTGCCTTGAGATGTTTAGAGAGCAGCTCTAGCTTTTTATCTCACGAGAAAATGCCCAGCAATAGCGGTAGTACTCTGGAGGTAAATGAGATTCTTTTCCAGTAGATCAAGACTAGTTATTGTTTTAATATTTGTGGGACTCTTTAAATCGTGAGTTACAGCTTCTTGAATTTCAACCCGAGTGAACTGTAGGTAGTCTAAAGGTCCTAAACTCTCTCAAATCACTCAATTTACATCTAGGCAACAGTATTTGTGCCATTATAATGTCATATAGCGCTTATAACAAGAGAAAAATCTGAAACTTCCTTCTTGTTTCCATCTAATAATTAATTAATTGTTGATGATGTAATGCCACACCTCCAATTTGGGAGTAGCTGGATTAGCTTGAATGCTGCTACTTCTGCAGGTAGTCTGGTAGATCTATGCAAGCTAGCTGCTATCCCTCAGGAGTACACTTTTTTATGTATATATACAATTTGCATGCTAAAGTTTTTTAATTTTGATAATCAAACAGCTATAGGGGCGAGGCCACGCACCATAGGTGTCTTGTCATTAAATGAAACTATTTTGTCCATCACAATACTAACACAATTTACCTGCATTGAACTCTCAATAATACTAATGGCCACTACAGCATCTTGTATACTGACTTGAGGATGAAGCATCAGTTTAGCATGTGCTGATAAAGCAAAAAGAAAATCAATAATAAATTTTTATTGTAATACATGTACATGTACCTTGTGCTAGTCTTACAAGACTCTCCAATAGACGTATTGTAGTTCTGGCAGCATTAAGAGTATCAGTTTGATGTTGAAGCTG